AAGACCCATAACGCAGGTCACCTCAGCCTGGCAAGACCAACTACTTTGTTGCTTTTGTTTGATTTGCACTCTGATGTTAGCTAACAGGACCACTGCTGCTGTTGTTAAGACAGCTTGGTGTGATAATGTACCTGCAACACGGTTTAACAAAAGTGAGTCCCTATCTCAGCTAGGATCAGCAAACATCACTGTACCTAACAACATGTTGCATGAATAGTTTGAGCAGGTTCCAGTAGTGTCTGTCCCTGCCTAACAGCTGGCTCACTTATAAACCTTCCAGCCTGGTTACAGAGATAAATAACCATTTTGGTGGTACAGACTTTGTAAACCCAGACACCGCAGGGGGGAGAGGGGGGGAAAAAAAAAAAAAAAAAAGGAAAAAAAAGCATAGCATTGACAAAGTATCTTTTAGTTGTGCAGTAATATGTGTTTTACTATACACTACTGCAAGTCAATTATTGCTAAGTGTGCAAAATTTTTTTTATAGTATCTTAAAAAGTTACAATAAAATGCTGTTTTCCCTGAGAAAGACACTGGGAAAGATGAAACAGGCATTAAGCAAGGGGGATAAAACACCCTTGAAAAAAATCATAGTTTAAGTCTAGCAATGTGTCTACATATTACAGAGAAGGGTCCCTTCCATTTCAGCATCTGAGACAAAAATGTCAAGACTGGCAAACCTCTGCGGTCACTTCTAATGAAACTCCATGGAGGTTTAAAGTCATTCCTAATACATCAGACACACGACTGAGAATGTTAACAAAGCAACAAACCTGGAGGTGGTGTATTTCCCTAACACACTGCTGCAGGTGATTTATTTTTTTTGCCCCCTCCTTAAAATTGCAAGGGAGTAAGAAGTCACTGAAAACCTGAACCTTTGAGTTGAGACTTACAAAAAGGCAATTATTAACAGGAGGACAAACAAACAAAAAAGCAACAAAAAAATCCCAAACCATACTTGGAAGAGTACAACTAACTTTTTAAGCTTTGAGAAATAAAAAAACAAACAAGTAAACAAAAAAAACTTTAAAAAAACCAAACCCTTTATCAGCAGGTTCTTGGAAAAAGTAACTTGATGAACACTAGAGAGCATCCTTGCACTAGAGTTCTTTCAGTGAATATCCAGGAGATAAAAAGCCTGATGCGTGCTATGTACTAGTATGTCTATTCTCGCCTTCTCTGAGTCATAATGATGGGACTAGATTATCAAAGGGTTCTTAACCACTGAACTGGCTAAACAAGGCATGAATCATTACCCCTTTGAGCATAAAAAACACAGAACATCGACTTGAAGAAGACACTTTGGATTTATGAAACAATATGCACCAGCAATGAGGAGCTGCACGTAGGTACCGGCTGCGAACTGGTTAACATGCTGCCGAAGGCAACTGACTAAGCAAAAAGGAACTGACTAAATCGCAGCATGACTTGGAGCTGACGTCAATGTGTATCTTGTTTGGAGTTTAACTTTTCCAGTTCCCTACTGCAACACGATTCCAGGAAATCTAATGACGTCAGCCTTTTGAACTCAATTAGCTGAGGAATAGACCATTTTAACAGTGGAGGAGAAAACAAGCAGGCATTACAATACTTAAAATTATTGCTCTCTCAAATTTGTTTGCATTATTTTCTTTAATAATGAAAGCATAGGGTTTATTTACACTACTGAAACAATGCACACCTTTCTCTTAGAGCTATAAGCTTATTTTAACTATCAAATCTTAAGTGTTTATTGCTAAACAAAAAAGCAGTCTCACTTTCACAAAATAAAAAACGAATTATAAACATAGTGACATATATGACTACCCCTACAATAAAGAAGAAAAGAAGCATGGTGGATTTTTCAGCAAAATCCTGCATCAAATAGTAAAGATTATTTATCTGAATCCATCAGTGCAAGAACTGATGCACTAACAGTCTTTTTTTCCCCAAAATTAAGCTGTTAAAATTGCCCTGAAATCCTACACTGACTAGAATCATCAGAAGCTATGTGTACTGGTTTTGAAAGATGAAAGAGTTACAGCAACAGGTTCAAAAGAAAATGTCACAATTACCAACTAAGCACTGCTTAGACCTCCAAAAACACAATGTAAAAGATTTACAAAATTTTTACCTGTTTCATCTCCTGTTACAGCCATGATCAAGCTCTGCACACACGATTCTCCTGTGCCTCTACCAGAGCTCAGCATGAACTGTTCCAAACTAGCAAGCATGTGCAGGATTACAAGCAAGAGCACTGACATCACAGTGACCTCACTTGCTTACCACTGTCATTAATACGCTCTGTCACTGGAACAGCCCACTGAAACTGCAGCCCAAACAACTCCTTCCCCAGCAAAGCTTTTTTTTTTTCCTTCCTCTTCCATATTTCTATAAGCCTAGCTTTTTTCTTTTTCCTTGAATTATTCATAAAGCTACAGAAAGCACTCACCACAAAGCTGACTGTAAAACAAGTCCTGAAAATTCACAGCACTGACTGACAGAAATTAAAATGTGGCTCTAGGATTCATTAATGAATCCGAATTATAATGTCACGACTGGATAGAAAAAAGGGAATTTTTTAAAATGAAGTGCAATTGTTTTGATTGGAGCAATTCCACTAAAAGGCAGAAAATTTTCAGACATATGTGCCAGACAGGAAATCTTAATAAGCTATAACAAATAGGTAAATGAAAGGCTAAAGCTCCTTGCAGTGGGGGGGTGACCCACAACCCACACATTTAATTTCAGTTAAAAGCTTCAGAAAAGACTGAAGAAAGCTCCAACAAAGTATGTCAACCTGAAGCTAGTGATTTCAGATGCTGTAACAGGCAGAACAGTAACTCTGGGTAAGGGCTACCTCTGCCCCATTCCTTCCTTTTTCAAAATAAATCCAAGAGATCTGTTTGACTTCATTTTAAAAAATTAAAAAAAAAAATTCAGCTCTGACAGAGTTACTCCTTATTTACATCAATTTAAATGAAATTAGTTTCAGACCAACAGCGCAGGCACTGGTCTGTATGTAGGGCGCAGCAAACTTCTAAGGCCATCTGTAATAAACAAATTCAGACTGGTAATTTGTCAACTGTGAAACAATGCCACGGACAGCAATAATAGAAACACCAATGCAAAAAAGGAGCACCCTGTGATTACAGGACCATTTCAGGATCATATGAACAGAAGATCAGAACTGAAGCACTCAAGAAATTCAAGCCACAGATCTCAAATACCACTGTTAATATCACTGACTGTATTATGAAAATACACAGACCCCAAGAGAATGATTTTTGATACAACTTTCCTATGCTCATTTTCACTATTAATTAAACACTTTCTTTTCCTTCAGCTAGCAAAAACAACCCTTAATCTGTATTAGGAAACTGTCAGGACATCAGAACTACCTCTTATGTTGCCTATGAATGTTAACTTGTAGCAAATGAAATAGCACTCAGTTGGTTCAACACCTTTGGTGCTTTTATACTAATCCTTTCTCCCCATCACAGGTTATCAGAAAATATCAAGCACAGGGTTTATGTGATGCCATCCATTAATACATGAGATTTATCAACAATTACTTTAGAAAAAACATAAATACATATGCTATCTGAAGAATTCTGAAACAGACCTTTTCTGCCCTAGGACTGATTTTTTTTTTTCCTTTCTTTTACCTCTATGATTATTACAGATAAAATTTATATGCTGTCTACCCAAAATCATCATAAAAATATATGTAAGTGGAAAGATTGCTAAGCAGAATGTTGCTTTCCTATAATAATCTGTGCTATCATGCTATTAGGTGAACAGTCAGCTACAAAGTGTATGTAAAGGACAAATGTTCATAAACTATATTCCTACAGACTTTATAGCATAGGCAAGATGACCTGCAGTCATCATATTAGAGACTTGTATATCCAACTAATTCCATTGTCTCACTCCATCCTGAATAACTCAGATTTGTTGACAATATGCCATTATTCTCATAAAGCGATCTGTACTACCATAAAGATCCTCAAGGTGCTTTCATACTCTTTTCATACACTCTTTTTTTATCAAAAATTTTTTTTCAGTTTTTTCCAGTATCAATAGCACGTATAATACGTTGAAACTTTTATCTTCACATCATCTCTTAGTTCATGCTCAAAGCTTATTCCCTTTGTATTTTTCCCAGTATATGTTACATAGCATTTTTATTCTGAATCAACAGCTGTGAACATCACTAAAGCACTGGACTTTGTTTGGGCCAAATGAACAGAGAATTCCAAGAAGTCAACTTCTCCTGAGACAAGTTGTTCTCATGGACAGAGAACAAATCAATTTAGTTAAAAGTATCTAGAAGCTTCCAGAAACAGGATATAGACAGTAGTCAGTAACTGTCTCTGAATCTGTTTTCAAAGTTTTCATCACACACAAGACAATTAATGGGCTAGACCATGGAGTAGCCAAGCCCATCACTGAGACTGAAGAGCAAAGTTAGAGGACAATCCCCTGTAATGAAGCGTCTGTGAAGGAAGGCCAGTCAAATGAAATTCCCAAGGAGGTTTTAGGAAGCAACTATGTAAATATTCTCTCTGCTCCGCCACGTGCCCTCACACCCCCTTTCTCCCCCGCAGCTCTGAAAAATCAAAGCAATACCTACAAAATACTACAGTCAACCTGGAGAAACAGGGAAGTCCTCTAATTTAGGGGACATATACACACATGTACAGAAAACATAGACTCACACTTAAAAAACATGCACTACCAGAGTGGGAAATTTGTTTGGGGGACAGACAAATTTGGGTCTTAAGGCTTTGCTAAGAATGTGTTCATAATAGTATTTAGGGAACTTACAGCAGTACTCTCTGCATAATGAAAAATAACATTTTGGCTAAGGGTTTTTCATATTATAGTCTTAGAACTTCCTTGAAACGCTTCTGAAAAGTCTTGGGAAGATAATGTACTTCAGCAAGGAATTAACCAGAGACAATGGAAGAATTCAAATTTGGTATTATTATTTAGCACCGTCTCAACAAGTTCAGATATCTACAAGCTATTAGCTTTATTTACATCCTGGGCTTCCTTTATAGCAAAGGGAGAGAAGCAGCCACTTAAAGACAGAACTTATTTCAAACATCTATATTAGAGCAAAAAAAAAAAAAGCACCTCAACTTGGACTTCACCAACTATCTCAGATATCTTTGTCTACCTTTAGTTGATGACTCTCACCTACTCCATGAATACATAAAGTCCTCCTGGCTCTTCTCACAGTTTATTTCAGATAGCTGCTTTGGCTTAAGAAAGCATTCATACAGCCCTCCCTCCTTACTTCTCCGTACTAATTGAAAAAAAAAAATAAAAGGGAAAATAAATTCCCTATATCCTCCATGCAGAAATCTCTTCCCCATTTTCAAAGGTTTTCCTCAACATAACCCAAACCTCAACCCTTCTTTCCCTGGTTCTCAATCTCCCTCAGCATTTCAAAAAGGTTGGGAACAGTGGAAGGAAAAAAAGTCCTGCATAAACTACAGTAAGGTTCAAGATTTCACTATTCACAGTTCAATTCACATGTGTGCATTTTATAGGACCTACAAAGTGTTCTTCTGGGAGAAAACTAGCTTCAGTAAAGGATCTCCTTTCTCATGACTTGTTACAAGAGTCATAATTTGCAAGGAAGTTCTGCCCTAAATATATCCAAAGAACTTCAGAATTTATGTTGTATTAAGATTAACTGCTGAGAAAAACAAATTAGTTTCATATATGAAATGAGATGCACCCTCAGTATCTCATTTCAATCTGTAACAGCATCTTTACTGCAATCAAACATATCTCTCAAAGTCTGGACAAGCAAATTCAAAGCAGAAAGTGATTTTACAGTGTTATTTTCTTCTCATAACTAGAAATGATGTCAACACAAAATAAAAAGCCTTTAAAAAAACTGTTTTATATGAAAAAGCTAAAATGCAGTACACTAATAAAATTTACCTTGAACAACAAGTTGGTTTCCAGGAACAAAAAACTGCTGTGTGCCATCAGGTGATTGTCCTGCACATTGCACAATAGCAGCACCTGGCTGAGGAGCTCCTGAATTTGTCATTGTTAATGTCTGTAGTCCATGGACATCATCAGAGGATGGATTAAAAATCTGGATTGCACCACTCCGAGTTATAGTAACTAAACATAAAAAGAAAAAGAAAAAAGTTAGGCGACAGAAGGAGATATAACACGTTAAAAAGCACATCTTCCTTTTTCAAATAAACATTGTCTGATAGGACTCCTGGTCCTCTCTTTGCTTAAAGATAATTGCACAGTAAAACTTAGATATACTGGTTTCCACAAATATAAAGCTTGTTGTGTAGTACATGCCATGTGCATAACAGGTAAAAAGCAGTGTTCCACACATTTTATCTCTATGCTTCCAGAAATATTAACTGTCCTAGAATGCTTTTAATACAAGAAAAAATAAAAAATAGTAGTGCCTAGCCACAGAGAATCATTGTTGTTCTAAACACTAATATAAAAAAAATATTTTTAAAAAACCCTGTGTTTATCAACTCCCACAAAACAAAAACCAGAACATCTAGACAAAGAGCAAGTCTTCTGACACTCACAATCCCCTCCTTCGTGTCAGAGAAAGTCTAGCCCAACGATGTTTATCCACGTTGCATAAAGCTGTAAAGAGTCCAATACTTACGTAAAAAGAGAAACAGAACAATGTTTTTTCCCCCATGTAATCAACAATATGAGAAATACAAATATATTTTGCCATTAAAAAAATCATATTGTGTTTCTCACCATAATTAAATATACAGGAAAAAATCAAATTCCCTAGAGAGTTTATTGATTGTATATTCCTTTCGAAATTAGCATTGTCTTTGTTAAGAGCAGAAATACAGAGTCATAGCATGGTTTGGGTTGGAAGGGACCTTAGAGATCATCTAGTTCCAACCCCCCTGCCATGGGCAGGGACACTTACCACTAGCCCAGGCTGCTGAAAGCCTCATCCAGCCTGGCCTTGAACACCTCCAGGGATGGGGCACCCACAGCTTCTCTGGGCAACCTGGGCCACTGCCTCACCACCCTCACAGTGAAAAATTTCTTCCCAATGTCTAATCTAAATCTGCCCTCTTTCAGCTTAAAACTGTTACCTCTCATCCTGTCACTACACTCCCTGATAAAGAGTGCCTCCCCATCTCTCCTGTAGCCCCTTTAAGTACTGGAAGGCTGCAGTCTCCCCAGAGCCTTCTCATCTCCAGGCTGAACAACCCCAACTCTCTCAGCCTGTCCTTATAGGGGAGGTGCTCCAGCCCACTGAGCATCTTAGTGGCTCTCCTCTGGACCCACTCCAACAGGTCCAGGTCTTTTTTATGTTGGGGGCCCCAGAGCTGTACACAGTACTCCAGGTGGTGTCTCACAAAAGCAGAGGGGCAGAGTCACCTCCTTCGACCTGCTGGTCACGCTTCTGTTGATGCAGACTGGGTGAACAATTGTGTTCAATTACCCAGGCTCACTGTGAGCCTGGGTAAGCAATTCTGTCCCAGCTGTCCTGCAATTATTCATTCAGATCACAATCCAATACTTCCTAAATAAGAGTGAATTAACTCCAGTAACTCCCTCTCTTACAGGATTGATTCCTGCCATATTACCAGAACAACACATTGCCCCCACCCCCTTCACTATCCTGATCTTGACCACTGCACAGACTTTTGTTGTGCTGGAACTCTATTGGAAATTGGGCCTTGTAGGAAGTATGTAGGAGTTTCTTGGACACTCCCTGGAGTTGTACATCATGCAGGTGGATGTAAATGGCATCTTCTCTTCTAGCTAGGACTAGACATGGTACTAATACTATTCTCTGAGTATGATCAACAACTCTAATTCAGAAAAATCACACCTTTCCCTCCCTTCCAAAACTGAGAAAAGCAACTGAAGTTGGTCTTTCCCAAAAGACTTCTTAATTCTCCAATTGTTAAAAACCTGTCTTAAGACAGCAAGCAACTCAGATGGCAAAAGAACTAGTAGTTATCATTTCCACTGCACCATTTCAGACAGAACATCATGATATGCACAAGGAGGCAAAGGGGGGAGGGCGACTGATTCACACACTCCAACTGAACAAACAACTCTTGCAGTTAGACCACTACCACAGGTGAGGCAAAACAATTTTCTTTCAGTATTCAATAACCAACATGACAGAAATACAGGCAACAGAGCAGGTTTGCAGTCAGGCTACAAGGCTCATACACAAGACACTGCCTTATGCAAAACTAGCCATTCCCCTTACAGAAAGATAATATATGCGTTGATGGAGGCAACTGGGAAAGATACTTTATCTAGCTGGTCATGCCTGTCAGCCTATCTGCTTCCATAAACCAAAGTCAAGAAGCTCTGAGGAAAAAGATATTTGGAAACCATGGCAACATACCCTTTTAGCTTGTAAAAAGTAAGCAAAGAACAGCCATCACTGCTGCTAACAGAAAAAAAAATATTTGTTTTTCAGAAAAATTAACTTATCAAGTTCTTCCAAAATAGTCACCCCAGACTTCCAGAAACCAACATACAGTGAAAATTATGTTTTCAACAAAACTGCCTTTCCTATGCAGGAATAGAGACAGTAATCAGCAAATGTAGTGACAGATGATATCTGTTTTAAACCAAGGCACAGTACAGATGAGCGTAGCAACACTGCCAGACCAGTTCTTCATTACCATGGACACTGTATGAGCTTTACGCATAAACTGCTGAATGCCTCCACAAGAGAACCCATGCAACCAATGCTGGCCAAGATGCAAAGAGTGCTCAGATAAAATAATGATAAGCAGAATTAAAGAGCTACTGACAGGAGATATAAAGGTAAAATAGATAAATGTAGTGACCTTCTGCATCATATCTAGACTGAAATCAACATAGGAGATGCTGCATGCCTCCATAGCGTTCCTGGTTTTAACTGACAGCAGTTCCTGAGGATCACAGGCAGCCAACAGAACAGCTGCTCAGAAATGCTGCAGATCTGTGCCTTAAGGCATGTGTAAGGACTAGAAGTAAACAGTCAAGCTCTCTTTGGTAAGTTCTAAATTAAGATCCCCTCTACTACGAGGAGTGGACCATCCACTTGGATTCAATGTGAAATCTGACTTCTCTGGCAAGCAATAACTTTAAAGGTAATGACGAGCATCCTAAGAAAGATTTTGACGTAATTTTTCCTAACCAGAATTACAACACACAGACCTCACTGCAGCAAAAGATGTGTGATATTTCAACTTCCAATGTGTAACTTAAAAGAAAATATATAATCAAATTAATGCACTAATAAATTGGGTAAAAACAACACCAAATATTCCCAGGAAGACAAAGCTCTCAAACAAAGTTTTTGAGCCAGAATCAGGAGAGCCTATGAAAGCTGACATTTCATCCTGAAGCAATGCCTCATTATGGCTGAGAACCTTTTTAAGAAGTTAAATTACTTTAAATACATAGCACATGTTTTAGGCTACGATTATAACTTATTGAAAGAAAATGTAGCATAAACCAAAAATCTTCTATGCTTGGTTCATGCAAAAGCTAAGTTTAAATTAAGAGTTAATTACATTTTTGTGGACTGTAATTCAAGCACATTGCTGGTCATGCTCTCTGTTGTTTGATTTTTTCAGAAGTACATGTTTGATTGAAAAAGAAAAGCAGAAATTAATTTTCATTATTCTTTTACACACCTTCCTGTCACCATGATTTATAGCTAAATTCAAATTAAAACATCCTTAATTAAGAATCATCATCTCCTGAAAAACATTGCTAGTAGAAGTACAACTCTGGTTTCCTAGAGGAATGTATGATTAAGAAACCTAAACTCCTAATTTCTTAGAAATCCTAAAGGTTTTCAGGCTCACTAGAACATAGTACAGACACTACAGCACTTCTTTTTAAACCTTGAAACTGCATATATATGTGTATTTTTAAAGCAAACCTACGTCAAACCAGAAATAAAAAAAATGAAGAAAATAATTTAATTTGGTCAATAATATCTGCCAGATTCTATACTGGATAACTGTCATTTAGCATGACCACAAGTCCACAAAACAGAGCACTTCAGATGCTGGACATCACGAAGGAGTCATTTATTTATGTCTATACCTTACAGAAAGGGTGAAAAAAGTAGCTTAGAAGCCCAAGCAAAATTACTTTCTATGTTGAAGGGATAGATAATATTATAGGAAATTCTTCTTTTTCAGAGTTGCTAATTCCTTTAGTTGCACAAATTAAAAATAACTGAAGAATTCTGAGGGTGACTAGGACACAACTAGAGAGCCATTCTATCCTCTTTTATACACCATTGCAACGTTTTAATATACTTCCTCTGCTCTCTTGTTTCAGGAAAAAAAACCTGCAACATTTCTTTTGCAATTTTCCTGTCATTACATCAAAGGAAAAATATCTGTATTTCAGTGTGGCTACCCATAAAAAGACATGAAAAAAAAGTAACTGTAGGAGTGAAGCTTTAACCAAGCTTCCAAATAATTGGAAAAAGAGTCACTGAAAAGTTATCCCTTAGATGAAATATGGTTAAGCCCAAAGAAGCTATGGGAAGCAAGTATCAAATTTTGGATACCGCAATTTAGGTTACTCCTGCAGCTAAAGTGTTCATCCTTGACAACTGGAGAGGAAGAGACGTAGTTCTTTTAAGAAAGAAAAGTCAGTTAACAATAGTTTCATACTCCAACCTCACACTTGAAAATAAATTCTAACTCACTAGTTGTCATTTCATGTAATGAATAGCACTAACACATAGCAAATCACAGTAATTTGAAACTACAATGATTTATAACACTGAACATTCACATAAAAGTGTCAACATTTTTCATTTCACCTGAGCCTCACCTCCACATTTTTAATGCACAGGAGTTCCAGAAGGACTAAATCTAGTAACCAACAAACATTACAAGAAACAGACTAAAAGTCTATAATGCCCATGTTAGGAGAAATTAAATATAGAAATTGAAATTGTTTAGAAATACAGAAGTTCTCATTCTTTTTCTCCAAAATCCAACATCTCTACTTCATTATGGAACTCTTAGATACAAAGTTGTTCCTATGTATGTTCTACAATATCACATACTATCTTTGCAAACATACTGTATTGCCCTGTGTTAGTATGATACAGGCTGGTTGGCATGGCCGTTGCAGAAATACCAGAAGGCACTCCTTCATCATCTGACTTTTCTTCTTCTTCAATCTTCGGTACTGCAGGAGCATCAGACGAGAGTTCATTCAAAATTTTTCTAAAAAAGAACATAAGTAATTTTACATGTTTGAAATTCCCTATCCATGAGAAAACCAAGTCACTGCCTTTTATCAGACAGTTTTGCTGTAATATATAAGCTGCCTTTAAAAACCAGCAAAACCAAAATAAAAAGTCCTTACCTGTACGAAGGCCTTCTTGAAAGTATTTCCCTACGTTTTTGAGAATCAGTTATCTCTTTTGATTCTGTAGATTCATCTGCAATTGATGCTACCTGTAAAAGCAAAGTTTCTGGAATTCATAACTTCATAAAAAAAAGAAGATAGCAACAGTAAAAGACTATTTTAAAAAATTCCTTCCATGTTTGCATACAGGAAGTTTGTGCACTTATTAATGACTAATCACATGATCTTGGACTTCTTTTTTCCAAAGCAAATCACAAATTATGAGGTTAGCAACGCACAGCCACTTAGATGTCATCTTCCATTGGAAAAAGAAAAAAATCAAAATAATCCAGGTTATTTTTTTGTGAATGACACCTAGAAAAAGTATTGAAGACAGAAGATTTCTTTAAATATAAAAATATTCAATATTTCAATACTGCACTAGTGCACCTTAAATAACAGTATACAATACAAAAGCCTCTTCATAACCACACCAAAGCTATTTAGAAAATTGGTTTATTTAAATCAAGTTATTCAAATATACACTTACCAACACAGATTCATAAATACTAATACATTGCTTAGCAATACTATGCGAGTTTTAGAAACTACTGACAAATCCACAATGTCTGATTTCCTCAGACCTTTATTAGCAGTATTTTCACACGTTCTTTTTCTCTTAAAATTACCCAAGATGACATTAAGGCCTGGACCTGAATCACACTCTTTACTGGCAACTATCCTATTACACAGAACTGAAAGTGATTATTTAACAAGGAAAACATGCTATTTTCTTAATTCCGACTACTACTCAGAACTATTGGTGTGTAAGATTTCCAAACCGAAACAGTGCAGGAAGGTTAGCGTGGAAAACCACCTCTTCACATAAAGACAGACCAGACTGCAGTTTTAGACTAAGCGCTGCGTTAAGCTAACAGTGAACAAACATGACTTAAGTGACTAGAAGGCTCAAGCGCTTGACGTGGGTGAAGTGGAGGCCTACCTGCAGCTTTGGGAAATCAAGGAAGAGCTCTAGAAGTAATACAGTTGTCAGGCCTGAGAGCTCGGTGCTAGAAACAAAACCTTCTCGACCTCAGAAGAAAATTACTGTCTGGAAGGTTCTGGAAATTTATAGGCCTGGGTCACCCCAAGTCAAACCTATAAAATTACACCTTGAAAGGACTACAGGTTATCACAGAACGAAATTGTCTCTTCGCTTGTTAATTTTAGTACATTCCAGTTCTGTGCAAAAATATTTAATGTAGCCTCATTTTGCTGGGTAATATGTAGGAAATGTCACTAAAACTCTACACCTGCCTAATGAAAAAAAAAAAGACCACCTAAAAATAATGAGGTATTTCTGCATGTCTACAGATGTATAGCTCCAAACCAGACTTCAGAGCTGACTGGCAGAGATGCAAGAGCTTCAAGCAGTTTGTATTCATCCTTTTGCAGGACAGACGAATGCTGACCAGCAAAGAGATCTTCTGAAAGGCAATTCTCTCCAGTGCCCTACAATGATCTGTCTGTGGATCGACCTTGAAGTCTCTGGCATAAACCTTCAAAACTAAGGCAGCATCACACAAGAGAGAGCCTGGGCATCCTGTCTCAAAACAGAGATCTCATTCTGCCGGGGGGTGAGGGGAATTGTCCCAGGACAAACTGCACCAAACAAAAAAAAAAAAAAAAAGTGCCTTTAAACCTTCCCATTCCACTAAGGGTTGCCAACAGGCACCCCTAGTTTGTCAAAATGGCTGAAGAAGTCAGGAACAGTTGTACTTTGGGAAGAAGCTAAGGAAATCACATGACAACATAAGCTTTTTAATGTGGAAGGGGACATTTTCTGCAAGAAATTTCAAAAGTTGTAATTTTCATCACGACAAAGAGAAAAACTTAATGTTTCAGCTTTTTCTAACAGCAAGCAACCACATTCACAATGCTAACCAGTGGAAACCATTGCAATTTTTTCCTGGACATCATTCAGACTTCAACTTTACCACACCACTCTGCGTTTAAACAAATTAAACTTTCAGCTCATGTTAGCCTGCCAATATCCAATACATTAGAGGGGGGAGAAAGCAGAAAAGTCAAATAACAATCTGAACTTCATACCTTCCTACAAGTAAAACAACATTACCAAAACAGTAAGGAATATGATATAGATAAGCATTTTTTCATCCCAAAAGCAACAGCATTACAAGAAAAAATTTTAAACACCTTCTGGTTTAAAGCTGCAGGTGTTTGAGGGAGAGGTCATGCAAGCTTTAACATTAACCTTCAGCATACCTTTTTTTTTTTTTTTTAAAAAGTAAACTGATATAATTTCTCAAGTTCCCAACTGTCTGGCAGAGACAGGATATCAAGCTGAAGCCAAATTATCTGAAGGAAGGGTCAGGTGGCAAGATAAAGCATTAAGAAGATCACAGAAGGGCTGAACAACTTCTGTAATGGAGTCTTTTACATACAGCATCTTTAACTCCTTCTTGCAGAGTCACCTTATTTGCCATTAGCACGCTTAAATGAAACCAAAGCAAAACCCTGGAACTAACTAGTCAGTATTAATTAGGACACAGCTTTCCTGTCTCTACACCTTTCGGGAAGGGAACTCAACCAGAGTTCACTCAATACAACAGTTGACTTCCACTCCCCTAAGATGATACAGCAGCAGCTGGCAAAGAGAGTCCAGAGAAATTCTTGCTTCTGAGCTTCAGAGCAAGTTCTCTATTTTTGCATGTATGTCCTGACTATACTGACTTGAAGAAAAGCAGTGACAGAAACTGGGAATGACTGTAATATGCTTATCTCAACAAGTTCACTCTGGTAAATTACAGTTAGAAAGAATTCAATTAAGAGAGTATTTATTTTGAATACTCTGATTTGACTTCAAGCTTGACCAAATCCATGTGTCCTGGCAACTACTGCACCAGTTTCAAAAGTGATCTAGGATATCAATACCCTACCAGGTCCCATCATCTACACCTATTGCTTACAAATAAAATATTCAATACCTGGCCAAGGTTTTATTCTTTTTCTCTAATCTATAAGATAAGCCATACTTACATATGCCTTTTTATTTATTATTCTTGAAAGCTCCTATGACGTCTCAAACATTAAAAGGTGGTTTCTCAAGAAGCCTGACAGTGTATGTCTTTTCCTTAACATGCTGCAATGACTGCAGTTAAAACCAGACACATAACAGGTATATAGTCTCTTTTACCAGAGATATTGATTCTATTTGCAAAAAGCAATTCAGTTGACATTTCACAATCAGATTTTAAGGAAACTACAATAAAGGCATTCCTCGCTACAAGAAAAGCACCAATGGGAGGCCAAGTCATTTTCGAAACACTAAGTTCATTCTCTCTAGTCTTTTCCACTATTTAAAAGCTTTGAAAACTCTTCAGCATTTTGCACTGGTCCCTGTTTTCTTAGCAACTTTAAACACGTGAAGATTTGCCGAATAAATGTTCATTTTGAGGTTGCCCTTATTTTTGGTCTTTACATATCCACACCCACAAAAAGCAACACCAGATGCTCCAACAGGGCCTGCTAAAAACAACAAGGAATCATTTGACTATAACATGTTCACTTCCATTACATCCAGATGCTCTCCAAAAACACAGTATGATACTTGCAAATTTATGAGTTTGTAGTCTCATTAGAAACATGATGTTTGTAGAATTTAACAAACCAGAAAAACTGCAAGACACACTAAAGTAAGCCCACATTATTACACAAATTTGCTGTTGTATAAGTTCAGGGTTCCAAGACACAATTTCTTAAAAGATAAACAGGAAGCATTAAGGAATTGCTACACAATGCTTGTAGAGCTGCTACTGGTTGGCAGTTTGCCACCTTCCCCCCTCCCTGTTTCCTGCATCATAAGAGTAAATCTTGCAGCATGGCGAGGAATGAAGAGAAACCGAAGATGGGGTTGGGAGGAAGAGTTATGAGGCACCAGATATTCATGAAAACATAACAATAAAAGAGCTAACCTGAACAGCTTGCATGTGTGGTGACTGAATGACTGAGGGCTGTGTGGCTTGAATGACACCCTGGACATGAACATTTTGACCAGAAGGCAACTGCACTAGAGTTACAGCTGGAGATCCTCTTCCAGCTCTTGATACAGCTACAGAAACCTGCAAAAATTACAATCATCATGTTTAAGTAACATGCCTTATCATGTCAGCAAATGCTTTCAGAAGTGATACTAAAATAAACTGGGTTTGATTCCATTTTTAAAATAGCTTAGATGTGTGTAATCATCACACACAGAAATAAACTAGTTTTACTAGCTAAAGTTTCGTGTGTATCTTTCCAAATCGTATGGAAAGCTTAAAACTGTCCCCTAACAAATTGCAAATCTTTCTTCTTCTTTTTTTTTTTTTTTCCTCCAGGGGTTTCACGTTTTATTTTAAATTAAAAACAACGCAAAGCTATCACACACTAAATCTGCTGTCACTACCATGAAGGTCAGGAAGAATCTCAAGAAAGGTAACAAAAAAATATCAGTATTCACTGAGGTGGTACACCACTGGAACAACACAGAGGGCAGAATGTTCTCAGTCAGGAAAAAAAATAATCCAGAGCTGCTTTGATTTTGCTTTGCTTGCTAAGCAAGAACTTTAGCTTGAACTTATGCTTTTCAGACAGACATCTCCAGAGACACAAGAACTTTTCAGATAGCAAAAAAACTGCTAAATAAAGGAACACATTGATTTGTAAATTGTTTTAGTTTAATAAATCCTCTTGATATATATATATATTTATATATCAAGGGAGTTGGAGCGTATCAGTGCTTTGATACAAAAACAAAGAACAGCTGTATCTTCTTTAAGCCTAGCATAGCTGAAGAAAGTGTTCTGTTTAGGAATAATCTGATCACTTTTTCTGATGACATTTCAGAGCAGACACAGCTTTCCCCAGCCCTTGGCTCTCCACCACAAGTACCGAGAATGAATGCGTTAAGAAACAGTTAAAGACCTGTCTAAACTCAGAAAAGGAAGAGGATTACAAACATAAATCATACAATAAAAAGAGATACTATGTTTTTCAAAGTAAACTGCATTGAAAAACCTTATTTCTAGATTCTGCATATACAAGAATAAACCCAGACTCGTATCTAAAATTCTGGTATTATTCTCTTCCTAGTTTGATTCTCAGCCCCAAATGGTACCTGGTATGAGCAGTAAAGGTAAAAAGAGATGACAGGGAGAAGAAAAACATGATGAACAATGAATATTTAAAAAAAAAAAAAAAGAAAGTTTTGTATTTTTTCTGTATTCACACAGAAGGTTTTTTTTAATTCCAAATATTAAAGAAGCTTTCATTTCTGATTCATAAGCCATTGCTTGTATGGGAAACATTATTTTCTTGGGACGAGAGAAAAAATTTAACTACTATTTAGATGCTCTGCTATCAAAAAGACCAGATGTTGGCTCTAATTATCTTAAAGAAACAATGTTACTAGGAAACAGAGACAGGATCTTGTCAACATTCACTATGTAATTGTTCAATTGTTACAGGAAACTGAACTGCTTTTCAGGAAAGAGAACAATTGAGGGTATTTCTAATCCTGAAATGGAAACAATCATTCCTTAAATGGCATTAAATGGAAATATGTAAATAGGACACACAGCTTAGTCCCAATCTATAAAACAAATAATAATATTATCAGAAAGATCTATAAAGTGTCAAAGATCTGAAGAGTATGATCTATTTTGTGTCAAAGCTGATATTACCCTAAAACCAAACTTCAAGGAAGGAGCAGTCTAAATGTGTACAAAGCACGCTAACTTTTCAGAACACTACAAAGGCAATTTCACCAAACCTTTTGATTTACTGGTACCTTTGCAAGAGCTACAACCTGATACAATACCCTGTGTATTAGAAAGAACTTTCTTAGCACAACACACACAAAACAGTACAAGGTGAACAGCTTATGAGTTTGCTTTTAGTACACAAGGGGTTAGGCACATATATTCAGGAAGTAATCCAGCACTCAAGATTAAGAAACACCACATTCATTTAAAAACTCCTTATTCAGTATAACCACACAAGAAAAAAAAAAGAAAACGACACAGCTAACACTCTTTAAAAGAATGACTTAAGTTCACAATATCACAAAATAAATTGTTTTGTTCCCATTAATTCAGATAAGAGATTAAATGGGGGGAGGGGGGGGGCGGGCGGGGTTTGAGCAGGGTTGAGGGAAGAGGAGATGGTAGAATTTTAAAACCAGTTCAAACCAAGAGTGGTTTGTTCATTTATTTCTATTTCAAATAGCTCAATTTGATTTGATCAGTTTGCTATGTTTCCACAAATATCCGAAGGTTACACAATGTGTAACCTAACAAACTTTACTTTAAAATGTCTGTGATTCTTTGTATTAGGTTTGTTTTCTATAACTAGGGCTGGAAAATATATTTCAAACTTCATGTTCTGAATCTCTTTTATAAATATTAGAAATTATTAAAACAATTTTGATTCACATTTCCTTTTGCATTGTTTTCAAATTGAATATTCCCATGTTAACAGGAATACTAGAACTTTTTGACACTACAATGCATAAATACCGACTGAAACAGACTTGGCAAAAAAAATTACTTTCTGACATCAGTGATGAGCAATGCTGCCTTTAACATCTTTACTTCAAGGGCTTTCTGGCACAAGGACTGAAAACAATCCACAGAAGCAACTCAGGGATACAGAGGGCGAGGGGAAGCTTAACACATTAAGCACCTGGTTAAACTGTGTAAGGGTAATGTCCCTGGCAATGACAAAGAGACCTCAGACGTTGCAACATCTTTTTTGGGTTCTGTCCTCTTAGGCTTCACAGCTTCAACAAACATTAACCATGCATTCTGCCATAGCAGTACGATACCATACTTCCTATGTTTGGAAATACAAGTGCTACCTCTTCCAAGAGGGGAGAGAAAAGTAGACTGCAAAAAAAATCACGAACTATCTTCATACTGACGCACGTACTCTTTCAAATAAAGAGGTTACTCATCATTTGACTTCAAGATGCATTTCCATCTGAACAGTTATACTACGGATGTATGCACCCTCGTCACCCAAGGTCAGATAACTTTTCCCCACAGAGTACTACAGAGGTTATGTCCACATTCAACCCCTCATACCTCAAACATTGCTGATATGAAGTACGCAGTGTACAGCTCCATCCAATTTCTGTCCCTGTTGTAGAATCTAAACATGACAAGGACTCCAGAAGTAAAGTGAAAAGTACTTCTGGAAAAGACAAGGCAAACCCATCCTGGATTCACCTAATAAAAGAGCAAAGGACTCACCACACTCAGGCACTGAGTATCCTCTACAACAAAAAGCTGAAGACAGGGACGTTTTGGTCAATTCCAAAGCTAATGCCAAAAAAAAAGCACATAGCTTCAAGGAATACAGGGTTAGGCTGGTTTCAGCAATTTGGTTACAGCATATCCTTGAGAAAGCATAAAATTATGACAAAGCTACAGGTTTAGAGTGCTCTAACATCAACTTTGCCAAATGTCCTGGTCTTGCATTTGGCAGGCTGGTTTTAGAGCCATATTTACAACAGCCTGGCAAACTTCTACAGGGCTCAATCTGTTGGAAGCAAGACTTAACATGAAGTTTGATGCCAAGAGCCCCCAAGGAGAATATCCCTTAACTGCTAAACCTGAGGAGTCCCAGCTTGCAATGGCAATGCAGTCCAGGCTCCAGAAAAGCTCTGCTCACTCTGACAACAGTTCTCACATTGGAAATCCTGACCCATGTGTAGTTCAGGGCCAGTACTGAGAGGTCAACACGTGATATCTCAGACCAAGACAGAAGACAGCTCTACTGACAGACGGAACATGACAAAGTTTACAAAAGTGATTCAAGGAATAACCCATCAAAGATGTAGGATTAAAGAAAAAAACCACAACTGAAAGTATTTTGTCAAATCTGAAAAAGGTCTAAGTAGATTCCTCTTACATTTTTATAGTTATATTTAGTGTAGTTAAGCACAAGACAACACAGAACACAATATGGCCTCCAGAAATCCTGCAAAAGGAACATGTAATTTCTCTTTGAATACCAACACCGATGTAACTGTTCTAAGATACCTGTTTGACTATCATCAACATTATCAGAATATTTCAATTCATGTTAACCTCCTTTTAAGAGCAGCCCTCTAAGATACCAATCTTTTCATGCACAATAAGATTTGTGCATGTGAGACAGAACCCATGGAGCCCCTCTCAAAACAGGGTGTGAAATTTTCTACCTTGCACCTTTGTTCTTGCCCAAAGAAAAGGCATCGAGTTTATGTACAGGTGTTCCATACACTTCTAACAGCTTCTAAAGACAATCACCAAAATTTTTACAAATACATATTTTCTTACCTAATTCTGTTGGTGACTGGATCACCAAAACAATACCCTGTCAATTCATTAACTGACTGAAAGTGAGAGATGCAAGAAATTCAACCATAAATGCAATCTTATTCTAATTTATTTTTATTTTAAAAATAACCCATTAAAGACAGAAAATGTCAATTCTGCCTAAATAAATGAAAGATGCATCTCCTTTTTGCTAGTTTCTAATTTACTAATTTTTGCTTTTGCAGAAAAAGTAATTTTACTTTGATCACAAAAAAATCGCAGGAGTATACAGCAATATTTATTACGCAAGCTAGAGAAAAAAAAAAAAAAGAAGCTGTATTTTCTAGGGCCTCCTTAGCACTGGAGGTTATCCCATCATACCATAGTGCTACAGTCCAGGCATTCTTAGTGTCCCCCCTCCCTCCCAACAGGGAAGACATTAAGAATGCTTCAGCACAAAAAAATGTCTGCCTTTTAGAGATCACCATCTTATTGAACACCTTGTCTGCCTTTTTAAAATTAAATGACAGGTATTTCTTTAAAAAGCCTGAACTCCAGAAGAAGGAAAAACCCACCAAAAAACCCACCTCATATGCAGTTGCATCTCTCAGCATTTTGCTAGTCATTCTCTGGCCAAAGTCAAAATTCAACAAAAAAACAAGCAAATTAAAAAACATGAAACTCCATCTGAAGACTAAAAAACCCCACCTTTCTTACTGTGAGGGTAGTCAGATACTGGCACAGGTGCCCAGAGAGGTTGTGGAGACTCCATCCTTGCAGATACTCACAACCCAATTGGACACAGTCCTGGGCAACCTGCTCTGGCTGACCCTTCTTGTGCAGGGGTTGGACTAAATGATCTCAAGGGGTCCCTGCCAACCTCAACTATTCCGCGATTCTTTGATAATACACAGAAAAATACAAATTGAGTATTAAAAGACAGTGTATTAAAATGCTTTACTTCTGACTGAACAAAACCAAGGTTGAACAAATATTTGTCTGAAAAAAATTTTAAAAAACTTACAGAAATGTCTGAAAAGGAGCCCTCAGTTTCACTGACCAGGCACGTTACCTCTCGCTAAGAATCACGTCATTCTTCTTTTCTCATATTGCAGCACATTTGCAAGAAAATTAGTATGAGAGACGATTAGTAGTTGGCGCAAGGCTTGAGTCACTTTAAGTGGTTATCTTCTCTTAACTGCACTCCTCCAGAAGCCAAAGAAGGAGAAGGAGCTATCCGCACCCTTCTCTAACAGTCAAAATACACAGGTGCCAGACCAGCAGCACACCCACAAATCCCACAGAAACACCCTGAGTTTCCCATCCCATACCAGCAAAAGCAGACGGGAGATGTCTCACGTGAGGTCCCTGCCCAAGGCAGGGGTTAACCTCTCAACGTCTGCCTCTAACCCTCACCACGGCAAACCGCCTCACCTTCAGAGCCTGCCAGGTAGGAAGGTTAGGTAAGAAAGCCGTCCTCATCTTCAGCCAAATAAATGTCACAACAAGGCCTTTCAGCAATAAGCTTTCTGTCAGGGCCCGTTTTGCAAAAAGAAATGCTGTGGCAGTTCAGCCTCAAGGTGCCATGGGGGTGGGCGCAGGCTCCCAGCTGCCCCAGGCAGGGAGAGCAGCTGCATGGCCTGCAGGCCCCGGGGAGCGGCCAGACAGGCCCACAGCACTGCCAGGCAGCTGAAGCGACAGGCCTGTCTGCTGGAGGCCTCTCAGTTTCACTGTCTTTCACAGAATGGCACAATTTCATCAAACCCACTTTTCTGGACAGCCCAGGAGAGGGACATCGACTCCAGCTAGGAGCACAGAGCTGCTCTGACAGGCCCAGCCAGCTCTCTAGGCTATCTGACCGAAAAGAGGGACTCCCAGGTGTAAACTCTAGATTATTGTCCTGAGCAGTCAAACTGCAGCACATGTGTTTCATTTTAGTGATAACTGACCAAGCTCCACCGGTACTTCAGACTTACTAGTTTTAACTGAAAGACCTGAGGCCCATGTCCATTATGGCTGAACCTTCACACACAGTACTCAAGCATTAAATTCAGATAAATAAAAAGTGGCAGAAGCCCTCCGACAGCACCAGTGACAGCTTTGTCTCTAGATCAACATTAAAAATCCCAAGTGACAGAATTCACAGGTATTTTCTCCAGAGACTATTGCACAAGCCGATAGATTTTACATGTAAGTCATCCCATGAAGCTAACACAAAATTTGAACTGAACTATCAAAGAAAGAAGACATGATGACATCAACAGAGTAAACCAAACAAAATTCTTGGTTTCGTGCTCCATTCTTAAAGAAAAAAACTAAACAGTATTCCCAATGCTGCAGGTATCAAAATTGCAACAAATGTCACAGGTAACAAAATCAAAAAATAAGTGTTCATAAATATTTTGCAGTCTACATTGTGTCTGAAGACCTGACAAAAAGCAGCAGCATTCAGTCTTGAAAATTTACCTATGATGTACATTAGGTTTCTAACCAGTATCAATACCAAATACATGGCATTAGATCTTACTAAGCAACTTCTGACGATGAAGAAATTCTGTACGATGTTTTTTAAAATCAGTTCCTTTATTTCACAAAGGGTTTCTGAAGATCCTTCTAAGGGGTCTATACAGCTTTCTGAAGCTACAAACTTTAGCACTGGCAAGAACACAATTTCTCTCAAGTGCTGAAGTTTCAATGCATATTTTTTATGTTTCAGAATTATTATGTCGTCACCTTTTATCCATGAACTGCCAAAGAAGAATCCAGGTATGACTACCATACGCAACATGTAAAGTATATTTTCAGAACTCTAGACACTGTCATTGGATACACAGGAATGAAACAAAACAAGCACACATTAAAAAAATACTTGCAAGAAGACAAAACATGTTCTGTACAAAAACTGGAACTACCAATGAACCACGATTATTTTTATTCATTTTTCATTGTTGTTAAACAGCTTCAAGATACACAGGTTTTAGTTATGCTTGATCTTCCAGCCACCTCAACTCTTTAAGTCCCTATTCCCACCTCCATAACAAACATAATAATCTCGGAAAAATCGGGGCGGGGGAGGGGGGAAATGTGCCTACTGATCACTCTGAAAAGCCTGGTCTCGTAAGAGTGGTACCTTTTAACAGACCTGTTTTCAGCATACATTTGCTATTATTTTTCCTATTTAATAACAAGACTCACAGAACATAACAACTACATACAAATCAATAATTTAAAAAACATAGCTGTTCAGGGTATCACTTTATTGATTTTTCTCATCTTTCCACATTTCAACTTACCTCAGATCCTGTGGAAGTCCGACTTCGGCCTGGCTGATTCTCAAGGTGACCAGCATCTCTCTCTGGCACTGAATCCACTGCATTGTCATCCTGTTGTGATTCAACCATTTCCATGGTCATCCGTCTACAAGTAAGTACATACACATCTAAATAACACAGTACATCCCTGTACATCAGCGACCTAGGGAGAAAACAGCCATTCTAGACTATTTGATACTTGGAGCAGACAACTAAGAGAATAAATAGATTTCTCTCAAAACTAACAGATTAACTGACATCCTTTCTTGCCATTCCCCCATATGAAAATATCCATTCATACAGACAAGAGCTCCTAGAAAGCTCAGTACTTTGGAAAGCTGCAAGGAGGAGCAGTTTTGGAAATGGCTGCCAGGGGAGGGACAAGCAGAGAGTCCCAGGATCCTGTGTAGCATCAACAGTGGGGCCAGGAGCACAGCCCTCCAGGGCTGCCCACCAGCACTGCCCGCAGCAGGTCCCTCATGCTTCTTGTGTCCCACTGGACAAGGCTCAAGCTGACCAGCAGCCACGTGCTGCTACAGCCCTCTCAAACCTTCCGAGATGAATACTGACCCCCGGCTGGGATCTATGCTTGAGTTGTCTGTATGCTACTCACAGCTGAAGACCTACAATGATTCTTCTCGTTTTGCAAGTTGAGAAGTAGGGCAAATTTCAGAGAAGAATAAGCAACCTCCTGACTCTCAATTTAAACTACGAGTTTAAACTCCACAGAGAAAGCTTCCAAATATATCTGCTATATAAAAATGCAATTACCTGACAGTTGTTTTTCCATATTTCTTGGCACATTTAGTCATAACGGGAGGTGTGTGTTTTAAAACAAGAGCTTGGTTCTCTTCGGCTCCCTTTCTCTCCTACCAAACCCTGCACTGAAGGTGCAACATTGAACAGGTGATGTCACAAACACTGCCATGGCAACAGGTCAGTTTACAAACAGAACAGAGACAGGACAGGGTCAGGCAGAGGCAGGCAGGATGCCCTGAGGGCAAGCTCCCACCTACACCTTACACAAGGAACTGAGGCCGCAAAAGGAAAACATTATATAGTTGTGGGATTTAAAAGGCAGCAAATCTTGCTTCTTTTGGTTCAGTTACTGTAACTAGGGGATGGCGAGCCCCTCTGAACTCAAAGTTTAACTATGTCAAAAGGCCAATAGCTACTGCAGTTTCTTCTCAGGTCTTTCACTGAGAGATGGAAGACATGAAGAAGGAAGTCTACTACGCGCCTGACTCCAAGGTTCCTAAATTTAGCCCCACATTTTAAAAGTTAACTACATTAAGTCAAACTAACCATAAACCCAACTCCTTTTGCGGCACTATTTTACAGAATATTTCACAATCTTCAAGGAGAATAATTTTTTAGAAATTGCCCTTTTTGCCTAGAACAAAGGCATAAAAATACGAAAAGGAATCCAGTCAAATGATGGAGAGAAACATATTTCTATCTTGTATTCCTCTAATGGTATTCTACTGACCAGACTTAACAGACTGCTTTGCCAGCATGAGCTCAGCTGCTGTAGTACTATGGCTAGTGGTAGCCAAGCTGTACACAGTTCAAGATGTTATGGGTTAACATTAGTATTTCTGCCAACAGAAGTTACATACTCCATGCCAGTATCAATTCAGATTACATTTGTAACGAGACATTTTACACCTAAAAATCTTTCTACATTCCTGTCTGGTAAGTTTCTACTAACTACCTTTTTCTCCAGATAGAATCTAATTAAAGATCTACTGAAATTCACCAAAGTTGAGCACCTCTGGGGAGAATGTTTTCACCAAGCTTTCCATCATAATTTTCCATAACAAAATGCTTATCTTATTAAATCATTACGGTTTTATACATGGATTCATTATAACAATAATAATAATGAAGTAGAAAAAAAAATGTTCCTCCATTGTAAACTAGGACCATCCATAGAGTCTCAAACATGAAAGCTCTTATTCATGCAAGAATGCCTTGATACGATTCAGAACAGCTCACACACCAAGAAGATTAAATAATGCATAGTTTATTGTCAACATATAATTGCAATTTTGACTATATTCCCATGTTTAGGAAGAGATTAATTCACTCTATACAGGCCCTGAAGTATTTTCTTATCCAAAGCCATTTGTCACAGATAACCTACTGTTAGCCATAACCTCAACTATTTTTATTCCCACTGAATGCATTCCGTGGAAATTTTACCTGGAAAGAGCCATTCTTCATGTTGTGAAAAAGTTTAGTTTCTAAATTTTAGCTTAATTCCTCACTGGTTGCAGAACACTATAAAAAATTACTTATCTTTACTACTCTGATTATCAGGTTTTGTCTCCCAAAGTCTTTTCATCAGCTGTGCTCCAGTAACCAAGTTAGCAAATAGCTATAAAAAGAGCATCAGCACAGCAGAAAATCTAATAAAAAGTTATTCCTAGTATTTTACAAAATACAGTACAACGGACTGCATTTTTAGACTAAGTTAAATTAGAAAAACAACAGCAAGTATTATACATACCAGTGAAATGACAAATACAATTAAGACTTATGACATACATTAAAAACTCAAGAATTTAAATAGATTTTACATCTATAATTATCTATATCCTGACTCTTAACACAAATTATTGCCTATTTTGAATCTTTAGCAAAGTAGAGTAAAATCTGAAAATGTGTATACTGCTTCTAATAGCTTTTTTTTTGACTGCCATAAAATGTAACTGGTACCCTAGAATAATATCCTTCTAGATAAGCTAAAATTCACTTCTTTTTGACAACCTGGTAATTCTGTTTGTAAACAGAGACTTGACTAAAAGTGCTATCCAAATAAAAAGACTTAACTACAGGCTATAAAACCAAAACAACAATGAAGAAGGACATAAGTAATTTTAAAAGATACAGTAGTTATCTAGGCATAAAACTTCAATTAGAAAGATGACTAAAGACAAAATGTAGCACATTAGTATCATAGTTCAGACATGTTAAAAGATTAGGGATCTTTGGGAGACACAACCGTGGGGGATTACTAAACTGCAAGTGAAGGTCAGCTGCAGTCATTTGAGCCCACAGGGTTAGAAGTGGTACAGCCACACAGGGCCCTGTCACTTCGTCTGGGCTTGTGCACAGCTCCAGACCACGCTTGCTAAGAAATTCCTGAATTTCACAGTCTAGTCCACGTTATCACTGACTTTAGTGCACCCTCATAAACTCTCAAATTTACATAACCTGAGTAGTACAGGTTTTGTACTTCCTGTATTATATATCATTTTACTATGAATACATTTAAGTGTTTTTAATAAATATGTAGAAAAATACAGAGCAAGATCATAACTGTGTATTTTTCTAAAACATCAGTAATATAGACTGTGGTAGAAACAGTTATTAATCCAATCCAGAAACTACCAACATAAACAGTTTCCACATGTATCACACTTAATCAGCCTACACTGCAAGCAAATCCTAATGTATTTATTGCTTTTAAGTTTCAAAAATCCGTTATGCAAATATATCAGTAGTAGTACACATCACACTTTAAAGTTTATATTACCTTCCTCCTATTTTAAAGGAAAACCAAGAAAATAGCTTTAAAGTATGTGGCCTTAGGTCCTGTTTAAAATTATATAATGTTTTTCTTCATTGTATGATAAATTAATTATATACAAGCTTTAGTCTTATATTCAGTATTAATACACTCATTTCTTACATTGGTTGCTCACCCTCTTGGAACGGTAATTTTAAATATTAGTCCAGATTTTTAAATTAATAAAAAAGTTATACCTCTCTCCTCCCATAAAAAGGGGCAAAAAATAGCTTTCCATAATGTACGCAAAGATACCTGCTGCTTCTTATGAAACAGCAAATAAATCTTGAGGATCTAGCAGGAGGTTTAACTGTTAACTTGCTAGTAACATTCCAACATATATTAGCATGTGTTTACCATGGTCACTGAAACTAACTTACAGTAGGCCAGTAGCAGGTAAACACTGATTAAGAAGATGCATACAGTGCACATCAAAAGCTTCTTCAGCTGACAGCAGGAGCATCCCTGATGGGACAATACTGACAGACAGCAGCAGCTAAAGGAAAACATGGCCCAGGTAACTTGGAAAACTGGAAGTCATTTACAGCTAAAGGAGTGAAACTTTTATATTTTTGTCTGTAGATAAAAGGTTAAGGATAGCAACTCTGTCAAGATGCGTTCTTGTGTAACAAAGAGTGCAAAAAAATCCTTTCAGTCGCCCTCAATACTTCCGTTTGTTTTACGGTTACATCACTGAACATTAATATGTAATGTCTGTTGGCAAAATTAAACCGCATAAGCAAATTAGTACAGCATTTTGCATAACTAGAAATGTGTGGCTGTCTAATGAAATACCCAGAGACATTTTAAATACAACTTCTTTATTTCAACAATACTTTATACATCAGACACTGTTTGCAAAGATGGCTTATTACAAAGGAAATTGCAAGAGGCTAAGAAATGCTTCAGCCCTTGCTCCAAATCTCTTTGTAGGCTTTTATTCACAGGACAGTTACTAGAAAGCAAGGATGTGAATTTACAAACACCTGTTTTCAATTTATTGATGACCCCATGATGAGTGCAGAAACCCTCCGAACGCACTAGTTTCAGAAGTGCATTGTGCTTTCAGATACGAGCTCTATAATCCGCTTTACTACACTGCTTTGTGAAGCATACCAACTGGCAAAGCGGTCACAGCATTCAGCCATGTAAAATGAGAAACAGTGCCACACACCAGGTTCTAAAAGTGTAATCTTTGTTAAGTTGTCAGTATCAGCAGAGTACTAAGTTTCTTGGGTGTTCCGAACTCTAATGTTTCCTCGTTTTCTTCCCCATCCTTTTCTTCCTACCACATATTAAAAAAAAAACACAAAAAAATTTAAAAACCCAACCTGCCGTTACTGTAAGCACAAGCAGGTGCAGCACTACATCTGCCACCTCAGTAATCCGGACAAGACAGTGCTGAGTCTGCTGGGAAGAGGACACATGGTCCCTGTTTAGAGGAGCCCAACCAGTCCCGGAATAGGTAAGAGGATCACGAAGTGTCAGTCCCCGTGGAACCGTTTAGCTGCTCCAAGACACGCTGCTCCACTCGGCACCACGACGCTGACATGGCAGCGGTGGAGGCAGACAAACCCTCTAACTTTAAGCAAGACGGAGGACTCACGAAGCCCACTGTGACCCTCTCCCACCTGTTTTCCTGTCCCAGCTCGCAAAACCCTAGGGGCAAGGATACAGTTGGGCCTGCCGGACTTCGGGGAAAAAAGCCCCCAGGCACCATAGC